AGTAACCCGTCTCAACATAGCCTCTATCACCCTTTCCCAAAGCTCCATGGTATGACTGAGTAGTTTAATACCTCTGTAGTTACCACAACGTTGGGGATCTCCTTTATTCTTATAGATTGGTATCACCGTCGACTCTCTCCACTCCTCTAGCGTCATGGCAGTCTCTAAAATAATATTAAAGACGTTGGTCAACCACTTAACTCCCTCTTCTCCTAAGGTCAACCACACAGTGATAGGAATTTGATATGGACCGACAACTTTGTCCCTCCCCATCTTTCTAAGGGTTATTTTGACTTCCTCAATCCCAATCCTACTTGTAGGGCAGTCATTGGCCGTAATATGATGGTCGGCTGACCCATCAACATTACTATCTCTACAAGGAGAGGCACCGTTATTAAATAAGCCAAAGAAGTAACTACCCCAAGCCCTCTTAATATCATGATCTTTCACTAAAAGAACACCATTGTGGTCATTAATAAACCTAATGTTACCTAGATCCTTTTTCCTATTCTCCCTGGATTTTGCAAGCCTAAATATGTCGTTTTGCCCTTCCTTGGTGTCTAATATCTTGTACATTTCCTCATATGCCTTATCTTTTGCTTTAGCCACTGTTTTCTTGGCTTCCCGCTTTGCCTCATTGTATATTTGTTTAGCTCTCGATATTTCTTCGTCATCATTGCATTTTGTAGCAACTCCTTGAAGCAAGTTTGCTTTGTCTTCACCTTAGTTTGGACTTCGTCGTTCCACCACCACTATTATTTATGTTCCTTGACCTTCCCTGTCGACAATCCAATCATGTTTTTGCCCACCTCTCTGATGGAATTTGCCATATTCTTCCATAATATATCTGTATTATTTGAGTTTGTAGTTCCAAAACCTGTATGAGACAAACCTTACTCCTAAAGTCATCAGTTGTCGCTCCACGTAAGTTCTTCCAAAGGATCCTAGGTTTACCTAGTTTAGCCCTCCTATGAGTACTCCCCTCGTTGCGTACGCGGAACACCAAAACCAGCAATTTGTGTTGTGATGCACATGCCTCTTCAGGGAACACCTTACAGTCAATGCAAGCTCATCGATCCCTATTTCGAACCCCGCTATAGAACGTAATCAAGTTCACATCTCTCTTGCTAAAGAAATAGTTAGTGACCACCATATCATGTGTAGTAGCAAATTCAAGCAACGTATGCCCCTCTTCGTTCCTACTACCAAAACTGAAACTCCCATGAACACCGTCATACCCGTCGATTTCACTACCTATATGGCCATTGAAGTCTCCCCCTATGAAAACTCTTTGGTCCTCCAGAATGCTCCTAAGTACATCATCTAACGAATCCCAAAAGCAACGTTTTTCCCCCTTCCCTAGGCCAACGTGTGGGGCGTACACTGAAAGGATATTCACCACTTCCGCTTCTATAATAATCTTAATCATCATGATCCTATCACGGTATCTACAAACTTCAACTACATTTTCCTTGAGCATAGAGGATACCAAGATACCCACCCCATTTCTAGCGTTATCTACGCCTGAATACCACAACTTGTACCTGTTACACTATCTGGCGCGAGCCCCTTTCCACCTAGTCTCTTGAATACATGCAAAATCTATTTTCCTATTACTTAGTACGTCGGTCAGCTCCAGCAACCTAGTATTTAATGTGCATACATTCAACGTACAAACTCTAAGTCTAGTCTCCTTTACACCACTCTATCGAGCCCCCCCCTATACGCCCTATGGGATCTAAAAGAATGACATGACCTCAAGTAATCATCTATAGCCGAAGCTATGAGTAACTATGAAAATAAAATAATATTGTTTTTTATTATTATGCGGGGTTAATATTTATGAATATATTTAATTGATAAAAGCCTAGTGTTAAAATGGGAGAAAAAAGAAAAATATTGATTGTTAATTTATAAAATACGTTCTAATATTTACTGTCAATTTCAAAACTTTTTTTTTGAAAAAATTGAATTGAATACTAAGTTTATTGCTAGTAATTTGGTTAATAATGATAATAAGTAAGTTTATTAATAATTATAGGTAAATTGCGTAAAACACTAGCATAGCACGTTTAAATATCTGGTCGACCACTATATGTACTTGACCAACAAGTAGAAAGTAGTTGTTATTTTTCGACGAGATTATTTTCCGACGAAGGTTATGCTGTGGAACTTTAATTTGGTTGTCGGTAACGTTCACTTGCAAAAAGCAAAAGGCACAAACAACTCCAACGAATATCGGGAGAAAGTTCGGATAAAGGAAATTTATCTGACTTCTGTACTAAACCAAACACACTAAAACACGCAAGCTTGGATTTAACCCCAAATCTGATATAGATCAAGCAAACGTGATGAAGATTGAACTTATATAGCAACTCATCAGACAATGAAATTCAGATTAGAGCGTAAATCTGAATCAAAATTGAAAACCAAAAACAGATCGAAACCCTAATTTTCACAAAGGTATGAAATCTGCTTGGTGAATTCAACGAAGAGAGATCAAACACGGAAATTCAAAGGAAGAGAGAAAGTGAAAACGGATCCAAACACGGAATTGAAGAACAGTGCAAAACTAATAAGGAGGAGAGAGAGGAAAGATTGTAAGCTTTTTACAAATTTTCTGAAAAATCCAGTGAGCCAAACAGATGAAACGAAGGAATCAAGATCAGAAATTTATGAGGTAACCATATACCGCTTGGTGCTTCACCAAAAAGCTTTAAAAATGGTGAGCAGAACCCCCAACAAAGTTTGAAATCAAACAAAGAGTTTGTTTGATTTTTTTTTTTTAGATCTAAGGCTGTGGGTATTGCTGTTTTGAACTCCTCGTCGAGATTTAAAAGCAAAAAACGAAACTATCAAGAGGAAAAACAACAGTTTTAACAGGAAAGTTTCGATTTTTAGATTGAGAAAGAAAAGAGTAAAATGAGAAAAACCCAAAACAAAAGGAAGCAAAGATAATATAATATCCGACAAGAAGAGAACAGAAAGACTGTGAACTATCACCGGATCTTGATGCACCAACCCTTAGAAAAACCATAAATTGAATATGAAAAATTGATTGATCAAAGCTGAAGCTGTGAAAAAGAGTTATTAAAAGGTCTAAAGGAAACTTTTCCATCTACATTAAAAGACTTATTTTAAGATCACCAAGGAAGTTAAACCTAAACAAAACTAATATCCCATATTACAGCAACCCACCAAGTAAAACTGGTGAAGAAACATGTCTATCATCTTTGGAATTCAACCCAGGGGACAAAGATGCCTACAACTCCCACCTTTTTCCGCTTTTGCAGCACTTGCTCTTCCTAAAGAAAACCGTATTTTCATTCCTCTATCTAAATTTCACTCTTTGAGTACACCCTTTTTCTCATTCTCCTTGGCTTCCCGAGGAGTTTTTAAGCGCTCAGCTTTCTCAATTTGTTTATGAATTTCCCTCTCAAGCTTCTCTTCCATATCCAACTTAATTCTTTTGTTCTTCATTCTCTCCTTGAAGAGAGTATCTGAATCTCTATCAGTATGGGTAATAAACCAACATTTGGGCGTCTCTTCGATCTTGCATTTCCCGTTCCTCCTTAATGTACCCCACTGGGTCGAGTTCATATGGACGTGATGCCGGTCATTAATAAACTCATTGTAAACAGCAGTGGCATTGGTGAGATCCACTCATGCAGTGGCATTTGAATCCGTTTTCGTCTCGGCATTGCTTTTGGCACATTTGACAGTATCATCGCAGCTTCTGAAGACCTTGGCTTTGATTCGATTTGCGATTGCTTTAGGGGTTAAGTAATCGTTTTTTCCCATCTGGGGACAAGTACAAAAAAACCTACGGTTTGAAAAAAAATAATCAGAAATTACAATTGTGAACAGAAACAAAAAAGGAAAACAATGAATAAAGATTCTTCCCTTGATTGCCGTGAGAGAGACGAAGGGTTGAGAGGTGATTTTTCTCACCATTTATTTCCCCTAAGATTCAGGTGATAAAGGAGAGTGGAGAGACCTCCAAAGTGATAAAGGAAAGGAAAAGCTTGTGGAAGACTAAGTTAAAAAGTGTCCTTGTGTTTTAAGACTCCAAGGTAACATATTTCATACTTTGATGTGTTTTTTTGCATATTTTAAATGTGATGCTTTGAGTGTTGAATGCTTGTATATTAGTTGCTTTGAGTGCAAATATGTTTCGATGGTATTAATAAAGTTTAAGAACGAATTTGTGAAGTCTGTACAGAATATTTTTCTGGACAATAAATTTAAAAATTTGTAGATAATTTCATGAAAATAATAAGAAAGTGATTAATACACCGTTGTAACCATACTCCAGTATAGTTTCATAAAAAAATAAAAGAATATGTTTTGTGAAAAATAAATAAACAACAAAAATATTAAAAGTTTAAAGGAACACGAATACAAACACCTTAAAAAATAAACAAACGAATACGAACATAACATTGTTTGTTCAAACTCGGTTCATTTACACCCCTAACGATAATGTTAGACATCTAGCTAACAAAAGTTGGATAATCACACTGTAAAAGAAAGACAAAACATAATATTTACACAGATACAAAGAGAGCACCACGCACAAAGAGGAGCAAGACTACAATAATGAAATCAATGATGTATTTTGTGGGCAGGCTCATAGTCCCCCTAATGAATACCATCATCTTCACCATAAAACCATATGGTCTACAAATGCATTTGCAGCAGACCCATTACCCATAATTACCTGCAGGGAATTAGCTACAAATATTTACTTCAGGCTCATGGATTGAAAGAGCGGATGGGACGATTTTTGTCATAAAATTTTCAAATTCTCATATATTTTAGTTTTTCTTTGTTTATATTTTCTATTGATAATATGTTTTTATCCCATCTAAAATTTTATAAATTCGACCTTCTAACGTAAAATTTTGCGTTTGTTACTGTCCCTAAATCATCAACCGTTGGCCCTCTTAAATCACTATATATGTGTGTATACGAATACGAGTGGAGAATTTTAATCATAAGCCAAATGAGAAACAACAAGGATTTTCATTTTATTTTGATAACTGCATGAATTACAAGAGAAACAAAAACAAACCCCATGAGAAAACTTCATTCGCCACTTCTAATACATACATACGCCCATAATTTAGAAAAACAAAGAAATCAACACACAGACAGACCAGAACAATGTGCTGCTGTGTAGTAATTGTAGCCTGTCTTCATTAAGCTTCTACGGTATGCCCCATCTTTAACCAAAATACCTAATATAACATACCATCCATCTCAACAACATAACAACTACATGCGGAGTAGTAATCTGCGAATTTCTCAGCTTTCAGGCAGCCCCCATATATGAAAAGAATAACAAATGCATCAAATCTCCGGCTGATCATGGTTCACAACATCATCAAGCTCCAACGACTGTGTCGATACCCTTGCTGAGGGGTGTTTTCGACACGAAAAAACAAGCCCCGATAACAATGTAGAGCAGTAGAAGAACCAGTCCTTTCATGTAGTGTGAAGTCCCATCCTACAAATTTTATAATACAAGTTGTTAGACTAAACTCAAATGTTATAGGCATGGTTGAAATGAGAGATGATATTGTTGTTATTTACCTGTAAAGTGAAGGCAACAGCGATGATGGATAGCGCGAGTGAGCCGGTTTCAAGGAGATTGAAGTTAAGATCCATCTCAATACCCATAATCCAAGCCACGATAATGCAAAGTGGGACCTGATCAGTCAACAACATTGAAATGTCGAGTTTTTAAAACCACTAGTGTCCAAAATTTATTACTAAACGACAATGAAGGGTTCAGTTATTATAGTTTCGTACCACAAACATGGAAATCTGCGTTGCAGACCCTAATGCAACACCTAAAGAAATATCCTGCAATGTTTAAAATGTGTCACCATATTTGCTTTATTGATAAAACAGTTGCAGATGTTCACAGAGATGTATATTTACTAACCAGCTTGTTTTTGAAGGCAAAAATGATAGCTCCTGCATGTTCTGCTGCATTTCCAACAATTGGTAGCAGAATAATGCTGATGAAACTAACAGAAATCCCCCATGAATCCGAGGCATCCTGGAATTTAGTGGATTAATTTCCAATAAGCTGACTTTAATAAATGATCATAAATTCATAATCAACCAAAAGGGTTACCTCAATTGTTTCCACAACATATTCAGAGAGGAGAGAAATGACAGCTGTCATTCCAACTAGCCATAAAAATCCACTCCAAAATCCGATCACTGGCTCTTCCTCTGATAATCCGTCCTCTTCCAATTCCTGTTGGGCTTCAAACAATTGCCGATGTGTGAATAGTTGGAACACCAGGTAAGAAATGTATGCAATCAACATCACAATGCTGCTCGCCCTTGACAATTGCAGTGTAGGGTCGGCTGTGAGAGCGGCCGATGCCCCACTCATTCGGAACAACAACGGCAACGAATGGCACAATAATGCAAGCAAAAGAAGGAGAGAGTTCACATCGGCTTGTCTCTGTCGAAATTCAACAGTGTTTAACACCCAAATTAGCCACATTAAACAAAATTTTGAAGATATGTTAGGTAAGATACTGCCTGTTGAAATTTAACACATACTCTATCATATTTTTGTTCCCTTCTGAGGTTGGCAATACCGCCACAGAAGAGACAGGTCCCAAGAACCAAGAGCAGGTTGGATAGGACAGAACCCAACAGGGAATACTTGACCACATCTATTTTATGTTGGCTTAGTGCAAATATTGCTATGATCAGCTCGGTAGCATTGCCACAGGTTGCATTCAACAGCCCTCCCACTGCAAAATTTAAATAATGATTAGCCAGTCATGGAGAAAAATATATATGTGTGTGTACATTTTATTATTGATAATTTACCTGTTGGACCAGTGTAAAAAGCAATTTGCCTGCAAGTACACAAAAAGGAACTATGGTTAGTCAAAATGAATTCTAGAGATTAAGGATGGATGAAGCAGATATTAATATGAATATAGCTTACTCGGTGAGGAAGCTGACTCGTTCAGCCAATGGTGTAAGTCCAAGTAAACTCAATGCAAAAATCCAGGGCTGTTGATTATTTTACAGGAAAATTCATAAATGTCAGAAAACAGATATAAACACTGTTTTCAAGTGGATGAGTTAATCCCCAATTAATCTTCACCAACCTTTCATAAAACGATGGAAAAAAAGAAAAGAGGAAGAAAGAAACTCACTCTTCCAAAGCCATGGCACTCAGCAAGAATGGCCAATGGAATGGCAAGGAAAAGAATCGAGAGTTTAGTCCCCAAAATGACCTCTTGAAGATTGGTGAGGAACTGACGAAGCATAACATATCGAACCTTGGAAACAAGGGTCAAATCAGACTTTTTCCTCAAGGAGGAAGACGACATGTTATGTGCAGTTCTTCCATGGCGAATCTCCTTGCTACAACCCTTCAGGTTGCCGTTCTCCAATAGCCATGGTTCTTGAAGGGAAGCCATCTTGCCACACTCGGATACCCGACGACAAAAATGAAATGGAGGACCGTGACAAAAAGCAATTAAAGACTTGAATTCTATTTGGACGAGTTCAAGTGTCAGATTGTCACTGTTATAAATACACGACACTCCATGTAGCTTCCAGGAAGTTTCTTAAAGATAATTATGAAAAAGGAATGTTTCAACTGCATAATTGGAGTATATATATATATATGTATGTATTGTGTTGTATGATTTTGTATGGACGTGGTAATAATTAGTAGTAGTAGGTGATGTTATGATATTAACCTGTTCTTATCATATGCAAACAAAATTGCACTTCCCTTGATGCACTAATGAAAGTAAATCCAAATTTTTTTAAACTCGTGTATTAGAAATATATACATAAATAAATGTTATAAAATAAGATATTCATAAAAAATGAAATTTAATGTATTTCAGTTTATCTATATTTATATGAAAATAATAATTTACTATAGACATAAAATGTATAAATATATTATATTTTATGTATCCCAATTATTCTTCCAATATACTTAAAAAATTATCTTTGTAAGATAAACTCAAAAATTACAGAGACTACACTAATTTTCCTTCATTATTCCAAATGTTAAGACTTACCCCATATTCACATAGTCAAAATATTTGGTTACTAATTCCATCAACTTTTTACTAAAAATAAATATTTATTTATTAAAGAAATTCATTTATCAAGTAATCATCCATCACTAGAATTATAATAAAATTAAATTAAAATATTAATTATAGTTTGAGTTTATATTTAATATAATGTAGTAAAAACAAGGGTAAAGTACAAATGGTCCCAACTATAAAATGATGCTTTGTTAAGTCCTTCAACTATTAAAAATTATAAAATTATCACTCGACTAGTCATATGTTTCAAACTCATCCCTTTTCGTTATAAAATTGACGATTATCTGAACTCGATTTTAACCTGCTGACTGAGAGATGATAAAATTATATTTTAATGATGTTTACTAGTACCACCATTGCTTTTAAACACTAGCTCGACAGTATAATATTGTAAGCATTGATTTTATAATATAATATAAACTGATAATTGATCCATAAAATACAACTCAAATAGTTCTGAAATGAGATTTTATTATATTTCAGTCAAGATATTAATATTCAGATCAAACAATTGTTCATATTTTTAATAAAAAAATGAATTTATAATATATAAGTAATTATATAATTATTTTATAATTTTTAACAAAATATCTTCTTATAATAGTGGAAAATAAATATATAGGGATGATGAGTCATCGTTTAACGACTAGTCAAAGTCGTAACCTTTACTTCAAAAAGAAGGGAAAATAGGAGCCACGTAAAAGATTTTTAAGAGCCATACAAAAAAAAAAGATATAGATTCTCCAGAAGCAGAAAATATATTGTGTGGCTTTGACTGTAAACAAGTTGTACCTACCCTAGTAGTAGGTATATGTTAACGTCAAGTTTGAGTTGATCTTTCGAGCTATGTAAAGCTTTTACATGTTCCAATATTGTTGTATATTCTTTTCACATGAATGAGACATTTAATTATGCAGTCATATTTATGTTTATGGAAGAAGATGATCGTGCATATTCCGTACTGACTAGCATTCCTCGAAATTTCGTGAGGGAAAAAAATCTTTAACGTGGGGAGCTTAATATATCATTAAAGAAATATGTTATTAAAAATATTATTTTTTTTAATATTTATGGTAAAAAAAATTATCTAAAATATTATTATTTTTATAAAAAAAAATAATATTTTAGATAACTCTTTATTAAATATATTATAAAACCCGATAAAGCGCCTAATAATAACATTTTCGATAAAAATAATAATGTTTTAAGTAATTTTTTACCGGAAATGTTAAAAAATAATAATATTTTCGATAACGTTTTTACTTAGTTATATATTAAGGTTGTCATACGGTAGAACTTTAAAAAAAATTACTTCATGGATAATGGTTTTGAATTAATTTTCGCCTCCGCCTTAGCTTAGTAAACGACACACCGCTTTTTTTCTTTTTTTTATTTAAATATATCATTATCCCTTAAAGTATGATATTTTTATCATGTTATTATTTAATTTACTTTTCAGGATGTTTTAGTGTCTAAAATATAAATCGTTGCTTCGTTTATCCTAAATCATTATCTTCGTTAAAAATATCAAAGATAAATTTTATATTTAGTCATTCAACTATTCCTAAAGTTTTATTTTGCTCACCAACTTTTTTTCCTTTCACTTGTGGATATCATAATTGTTCTTCGAAGTATTGAAACATTTCATCAAAGCTCTTTTAGTGTCTTCATTAATCATTGATCAAATTATTCTAATTTTGGTGATTATGGCATTTTTATCACATACAATGATGGTAATGTTTTTTGAAAGTGTATAGTTGGGTTGAATCTTGTTCATCAACATCTCAGTGGCCGATACGAGCATAACAGTGGATGCCAATTTCAAACCCAAATGAGAAACCTAGAGCCGCCACCGTCGCCACTTGCAACAACAACACCGACCATGGTTGTTGTAGTGAGAATCGACACAATGTTAATGGAATTAAAGAGAAGGGCGTTCTAGTTATTTCATTGTTCTTTGACTTTTTTATCATCTATAATGTGCCGACTACCACCTTTAAGAATACTTTAGATGAGTTTGCCTGAAACAATGGTGTCTCATTAACCTTTTTTCCGATTGGGATCGTATTGATGAATTCATCTCTAGCACCCCACAACTACATGGATTCAGATCACACCAAATACATTAGTAAGGGTGAGTATTATTCGGTTTTAACATATTTAACTGACAATACTGACTTACACCGGTATAAGTTAGTCATTTCATTTACTAAACTATCAACATTGACTTACTTCAGTGTTAGAACACCCCATTAATAATCCGCTCAACTTAAAGCCAATAGATGAATTAATTATTCACCAAACATAGCGTAAATCACTTTAACTTATATAGATAAATAATTCTAATTAATGGATTGAAACATATCAAAGATTTTGTTATCATAAACAAAAAAAACAATGTAATTATATTAAAATGAAGTCAGACAAAATTCAACAAAAGAAAAAAGTTAAGGAGAATGAAGCTTACCCGGAGAAGAGTTAAATAAAGAGGGAAATTCAACAAAAGGGAAAAACTTACACCGGTCTAAGCTATTCATTTCATTTTCTAAGTAACATGTTTGTGAGTTAGACTCGTTAAATAATAGCTATTCATAGATATATTTTTGAACAAGCATCAACTCATATTCAAGCAGCCTTTCATGGTTACCTAAAAAAATTTAATATTACCATTATCATGTAGAAACGTTTGAATAGTTTGTTAAATGAAACAATTACTTATTAGCGACTTATTTGCAAGCAAGATTAGCTCGTAAGAATTTAAAATCTGTAATAATGTTTCAAGTTATTATTTGGGGTGAAATAGTAAGAAAAAAATGAATTGACTTACCATACTTTAGGTTCTATGCTTTGTGTTCATGGTTTTTTAAAACCAGCAAAGGTACCACAACAACGCAATCAAAATTTTTATTACCAAATTTAATTATAGTGAAATTGTGGAAGGTGATAAAGTGCTGCCACCGTTGTCGGTTGCAGCAACAACACCAGTCACGGTTGTTGTAATGAGAATCGACACCATGTTGATGAAGTTAAGGAGAATAATGATCCACTTATCTCGTTGTTTTTTGATGTTTTTATCATCTCTACTCTATCGGCTACCACCTTTAAGATAACATAAAGTTGTAAGGTGGCCATTGAAGCAGACAAGTTTGCTTGAAACAATGGTGTCTCGTTAATCTTTTTTCGATTGGGATCGTGTTGATGAATCCATCTCTAGTCTTCGATTCTTGAGATAATATCTTGGGTTGCAGTTTAGGAGGTGAAAGTCTGATCGAAGAAAGTTTTAATTGTAAAAGACCCATATTTTAGAGTGTTAACTTTTTTTAGCATTTTTTACCATTAATGTTTCATTTCATAGTGAAAATGTCATATTTTAGAGCGTTAATTTTTTCCTATCTAATAGTTTACATCCATAGAGAGGACTTTTTGTCACAAAATAAAACGGGAGGTGTTAAATTTGCTATTTAATCAAACGTTAGGGGTATATTTTTATATTATAATATGTTAATATATATATATATATATATATTTGAAATTTAGATTGTATAACAAAAATATTTCTATGAATTTTATATAAATATTTCTATTTTAATATTATAAGTTTATGTTGTTATAAAGAAAATATATCACAAAAACAAATTGATAAATTTACTTCTAAGTAATTTTATAATATCTCAACTAAGTACTATAATCTTACATCCCTATCATATAAATCAATGTAATGCAATATTCTCAATAATTTGTCAGATAATGTTATATTTTGAGAATCTTATTCCGATAGGTAATATTACGTTATGTTAAACAAAACACATCCCAAGTGTTAGGTTATTTTTTTAAGGTATAAAAAAAGGTAAATTACAAATTTACTCATTGAACTTTACTCTCTCTCATAGTTCACTCATTGTACTTTCAATTTTTTCTACTTTACTCACTGAACTTTCAAATTGCTTCTATTTTGGTCACTATATATTATTTATTATTATTTTGGTATTACATGGAATATTTTTATTTAATAAAATAATAAATATATATATATATATATAATCAATTAGTGTATAAAGTATATATAGACTGTTATAGAGATGCCATATCAATAACATTAAAAAAATTAACTTTTATGTTAATATTTCAATTAAAAAAAACTAACAATTCGATTCTTTTTAAAGAGTGACAGTCCAGTTTAACATAAAAAGAAGAAAAAAATATGAAGCTAATATGACAAAACTTATAAATGTTAATGGCCAAACTTATCTTTATGCCTTTTTTAATTAGTTATACGACATATACTTACAATTATTAATGGAGAGGTAAGAGAATTTTATATGAATCATTTAGCCTGGTGCTCAGTTCTCATACAATGTGTCCTTTCAGTTCTTTTATATCTAAGGTGTGGTTGTTTCATGTAATTTATTTTTTTTTAAATATTTTCTCATATAAGGTATGATTTGATCAATGTAATCTTTTTCCAAGTCAAGATTTGTATTTTATTAATCAGTACAGAGCGGTACATATGTAAATCTAATATTACTAAATTAGAAAACACGATATATTACATTAAATATAATATAAACTAACCTATAAATCTGTAACAAAAACCTCTTTAAAAATCACCAAAAAAAATCATTTTTGGGTTTATTAAGAATTAATTAATTTCAAATTATTATATACGTTCCTTTTGATAAAATTGGTTTTCCTTTTACTATTTTAATGTGGTCTTATAGTAATATATGTTCAATATTTTAGTCTGATACAATTTTATAGAAAATATTGTTTAAATCCAAATTACTTCAAACGTATCACCCTTCATCATTAAAATTACTTTATAAATTCATAACTGAAGATATTTTTATATCGTGTTTTAATTAATATTTTTTGTGTCTTGTAGTCATGTATGTTTTTTTCGCCCTTTCAGTTTCCAGGGCTTCGCTCTGATTAATCTGGACTAGTCTGTGTCGCACACTTGGATCTAAAGGGTGAGTCTTTCAGCGGGGATTTTCCACATACACAAAGACTCGAACTCGAGACTTGCTTAAGCGATATCAAATTGCTTACCACTTAAACTAATTTCGTTCGTGTATATATATATATATATATTATCAACTTTATATTTCAACTAAATGTCAAGTATGGAAGGTGGAAAGAAGTTTCCACGTTAAAGAAAAAAATCAACCGAAAATCCTTTCCTCCAGCTATAAAAATAAAAGAATAATCTTCTTCAATTCTAACACTAAAAGGTTTTGAAATGCAATGTTTTACTCCTCAAAATGCTCTCCGTCGGGTAGGGTTGCTTCCACAATTATTTTTCGAAAAGCAAAGGAAAAAAACAACATCTGTTCATGTATAATTCATTACCATTATTTGTTATTTTATTTTATTTTTCATAAAGTTGGTGGGCGTTGGTAGGTATAATGCATTAATATTATCTTTTTCATTTTGCATGGAATTTTTATTATTAATTAATATCAAGATAATTGTTTAAACATTACTTTTTTTCATTTAGGTGACTAATTTTTTTGGTCAATTTAGATGCATAACGTTTCTAACATTACATTTTTAATTGCCTCGGCACGTGTCATCTAACGACATAATTTAACGACAATCACGATCCAGACACCTAAAAATGTAATGTTGAAAATGTAAGGGACCTGAATTGACCAAAAAATAATTTAGACACCTAAATAGGAAAGAGTGTATAGTTTGGACACATTTTTATATTCATCCTATTAATAATTTTTTGAGGATAAGTGGAGCTAACTTCAGTTATGGAGCAGTTAATTATGGAGGAGATTTAAGTGTAAGGTACGAATTTGACAAAACGACTCAAAACCCTATATTTGCATAAAGATTTAGGTCTGATTGTTTAAGTTTGTATTACTATTTTGGGGAGTTAATTCACCCTCATTTTAAATTGGTCTCTAAACTTTTAAATATTTTAATTTTAATCTTAGACTATGACTATCATTCTAAATTAGTCCTTAAACTTTTGAACATTTCAATTCCATCCCCAAACTATGGTATTCATTTTCAAATTGATCCCAAACTTTTCAAACATTCCAATTTCATCCCAAATTATATATATATACTAATCACATCCATGTTTAATAAAATTGTTAGGCCAAGTTATATTATTATATGTTTTAAAAACCAAATATAGGTTAAATTATGGTTGAAACTAGTTATATTTGCATGAATTTGGGGATGAATTGGGATATTCAAAAGTTTAAGGACTAATTTAAAATGAGAGTCATAGTTTGAGGATGAAATTAAAATATTTAAAAGTTTAAAGACCAATTTGAAATGAAGGTTATAGTTTGGGGGACATGTGGTGCAATTAGTTCTTATTTTTGGGTATGATTGCTTCAGTTCAAATTAGTTTTTTATATAATCAAATTAGATTGAATCAAAATCTAAAATTCAAGTTAAAACTAATTGGTTTTGCTTGTTGAAGGGATTCGAAGAGCAATGGCATGTTTCATGAAACTATTTTTGTAGGAGATGATGATGAAAATTTCATTATCAAGTTGATTTTGGTGCAAATACCCGTTGGTTATAGGCAAGAGGTATGAAGCCAATAGGGGCAGAAAATCATCACTGAAATCTTATTGTCTTCATTAATATTCCCAAAGATATTGCCCCCACAAGCATGTGCTAATAGCCAGGTACAACTTCCCGGAAGTTTCCTCTCCATCACATTCAAATTGTAGCATTGTTTCATGCAAATAATAGAGGTCTCCGCTGTTTCGTACAGAGATTGACACATAATTTTATGTCAAGAGAACAAACTTCCAAAATTTTAGAAGGATGGAAACATATTATCAATATAAAATATAAAAAAATATAAAATATATGATAACTTAAAATTTTTAAGGACGACCATCCCGATCAACCCTTCGATTTATCCATGGGTCCATAATAATGCTACTAAGAAATCAAGGTCCATGTCCAAGGTTTAAGAAATCAAGGCTCATGTCCAAGATTTTCCTACTTTTCATGATATCAATGTAGTGAATTTGTTTAATTTCTTTTTTTTCTTCTCTATTGGAAAAAAAAAACAGAATTATTTGTGCACCGAAACTAGTTATTTCTTGATAATAAGTCGCTGAAATTTAGTTAGAGTAAATATAAGATAATATTTGTTTAAAAATAACTTTTTAATATTAAACGTTCATACTTTTAATATTCATAGTGTTCGAACTCGAGATCTTAAGAAATAACAACAATTCCTCGAAAAATAATCGAGTATACATGGAATCAATGATGGGGAAGGTTGATTACAAGCGCAGTTTCCAGGATGTTTCCACTATACATGTTTTTGATCATGACAACACACAACTCCTAGATGATGATGATATAATATAGCTTTTGGATTATTCGAAGAATTAATCTGATTAATTCAAGTTTAGAGAAATGTGTCTCAGATGATCAAGTTAGTTTAGATTTAGATATGGGATGGAAAATAGTTACATCTTCAGAAATGCTCAGAGACGCTGTTGAATCATTTAACAAACCTGTCTGAAACCACATGTAGAAGGTTTCGGAAGACGAGATTTAATCACTTTCTAAAAATATTTATGCAAACAAACAATTAATGAGGTGGTGATTGAAAACTTATAATACTACATTAGATGATAACCTTGAGCCACCTATTATTATCTTTTGTCCTGCCTTTATGCTACGTCTTTTTCTATTTTTTTATTTTTTTTCGTGTATCCTTCTTTTTTAAAATTATATTTGATATAACCACAACTGATTAAGATAACGTTTATTTATTATCATGTTGATTTCTCATACTTTAAACCATCAAATTATGTGTAATTTACCTTTATGAATAGTATTTTCACGTAACTCGATTTTGATTTATAATTTATCGATAGTCTTTTAATAACTCTATCCCCATTTATGATTTATTTGTTGAAACGATCATATCTATTTGAATCTACCTTTTGTTCGAGTTTATTTAGTTAGATTTTTTAGCATTTTCCTTGTATAATCCTTGTGTAATCCTAAATGGCTAGTTTTCTTGTATTTAGAAAAATATTTTTAAATATATGTTTAGTTTACAATTGTAGTTGTAAACCTTCATTATAATTTGAATATTTTTTATTTTTAATAAAATTAACTGTTTCTATAAAAAAATAATTATACAATTAATAAAATTCTCAGACCTGAAAACAATAAATCCACAATAGCACCACTATGACAGAAGGTGTTGTCACAAGAGAATCATCAACATCTTGCATTAAAAAAAATCCTTTTTAAATGAACGAATTCTCATCTATCTGCAACTTTAATTAACAAGATCTTGGACCTGGTTTAGAACGAAACCAAGAAACAACCATTCTTAAATTGCATACCTGCTTCAATCATCAACACACTCCGTGGTTGTGACTACTTTCTTGGTTTTGATGCAATACACACGGGATCCGATATGCTCCACTTGAAGACCGGCATTCTCACAACCAGTGAAGAAGAGTGATTCATCTTCCTTACCAATTCTGCGTCTCCAGCTCATTAGAAATGCTGGTGCAGGCAACCCCATGCACATTCCTGGCACCAGGATGAAGAGATCGATAAGCAAATAATGACTAATGACGGATTTTTTTCTTTTATAAGGTCCTCAACTCTTTTCCTATATTTATATATATATATACACATATACATATTTGTTTCATTAGCACATTACCACTACTCTGATCATTTCCCACAGGAATAGTTTTGTCATCTTTTGGCTTGTAAGACTTTAGGAGAAACGAGAGAGACTTTATCAAGTTAGGGTACTGTTTGACATCTGCAAGAGGGTGGAAAATGGATCTAACATGTTAGGCATTCTTTGTTTCTAAAAATGATGGAGATTTAATCACAAAAGATAGTATGAACTTTGAATCTAAAGTTTATGATTCCTTAGATCTCACTCCACTGCGCATCAGAGCATTCAGTAACACTCGGAAGGAAGCAAATTTAAATCTAAAACAACAAATTACTCTAATCCACTCCAAAGTTTGATCTTAGTGCTAACATCTTGTGAAAAATCATCCCCTTTAACCAAAAATAATAATAGTATCTTCAACACGAACCAAGCAACCTAGATGGTTAAGGGATTTGTTGTTATCCCTTGAGGTCACGGGCTCAAGCACCTTGTATGGAGTATGAGAGTTCATTGTCAAAGAATTGAAAGTCTTTGAACATATATTACCTTATATTCATTCCAGATTTATCAAAAAAAATAGCATCTTGAAGCTTCAGCTTTCATAACTGTTTACATCATTAAAAAATCATAGTTGCTCAAAATTCTAACAAAAAATTTACAATTTTATAATGCATGTACATATTACTGTACAACAATATTAATTAAAAAAATGAAATCACAAATTTATTTATGCATATGCTTTTCTTCAAGCATAAAAAGTAAAAATTGAAGAAGCCAAATAAGAAGCTCACACAATAGGATATCACTTGCTATGATGAGGTCCCAGTCAGGTTCTGCAGTTGGAAAGGTGTCTCCCCATGAATCTGAAAAACATTGACACTTTAACTTAAACAATAGTCCATGAAATTAGTGCTTCATATTATTTCTCCTTAGCACTTTAAATTTATGAACGTTAGGTTACTAAGAATTGATAATCACAATGGCTAAAGGGAACTGACGCCTTATGTGAGGAAGAACAGGTGTAATTCCATTTGTCTGACAATTAAGAGCTATGTTCTCTTCAATTTCCTGATCATCATAATCTGATGATGTTATGTCAAGATTAAACGACTTTTGGAGAAAAATAGCCAAAGCACCAGTGCCACTGACAATGATGAAAGATTCAAGATCAGGAAAAATATCATAAAAAATTCAAATGAAGAATTAAGTTGATTGATTCTTATTCAAGAAACAGAACAAATTAAAAAAGAGATTTGGGCTCTCTTGAAGCAATGCAAAGAAAATATATAATGTACATAACTAGAAAAGTTCAAAAGAAAGCAACTTGTGCTTGCAATTCTAAAGTTGAGTGAATTTGCAGATAAAGCTGCGGCTTAATGTGGAAACTATTCAGAAAACACGCATCAGAACAGCAACTTATAGACAGAATTAACAACTGAAAATCAGCTCGGCTCAATATTAAACTAACACTAATGATAAACAGACTCTTGAGTATACAACACCGATAATTAAATAAACGAGTACGGACTATATAGATGGACTAAAACAAAGAATAAACAATAAAATGAGGGTGTCAACAAAATAGAAAAAGATGTACCATAAAGGTAGGACAAAAGATAATAACAGGTGGTTCAAGGTTATCATCTAATATAGTATTATAAGTTTTCAATCACCACCTCATTAATTGTTTGTTTACATATATATTTTTAGAAAGTGATTAAATCTTATCTTCTGAAACCTAAATCTAAATCTAAACTAACTTGATCATCTGAGACAACATTTCTCTAAACTTGAATTAATCAGATTAATTCTTCGAATAATCCAAAAGCTATATTATATCTCCTAGGAGTTTTGTGTTTTCATGATCAAAAACATGTATAGTGGAAACATCCTGGAAACTGCACTTGTAATCAACCTTCCCCATCATTGATTCGATGTATACTCAAAATTATTTTTCGAGGAATTGTTATTTTTCGAGCACTCTCATACAATTGTATTATTTTTTTCTCTCTGGCAGCTGAAGGTATTACCTTCCAAGTTCAAGGCAACGACGACCTTCTATCCATGATTGATGTTGAACTAGCCATTCTGCAAAAGCAAACGTACCTGGCCAGAGTAAGTTAGCATTCAACTGGTGAAAGGAAAATTCTCGAATAAGCAACTCCTGCACACAAGCCAAAAATGCATATAATGATATAAAGGAAAAAATAAATAAGTGAACTTGGGCGAATTCTAAAAAACAAGTACTCAAATATAAGTTTTCACTACATTGCCACAGAAAAAATGGTTTGCACTAATGCTAAGAGCTATAGTTTCTGATAAGGTATCAGGAGTCTGCTACGGAAGTAGTAAAATTGAATAAATCCCAATGTGACACGAGGAGACTCAAGAAACAATTACAGTTAAGCTCTATGAAGCTCGGTCAAATAATCACCAAATTTACTTCTTATCAAGTTCATAGTTATACTTTTCCTACAACACTTATCAAACATCATACTATGAGCTACCTCTACAAAATAACCATCTCATTAGGGCTTACTATCCGTCAGCACTCATATAATTTCATATTTAATGAGATCAATGAGAAAATCCTATTTTTGAAAAAAAAAACAGTTTTTATCCAATTTTCCCCAAAAAAAGTTGAAACTTAATCATGAAGTGTGCCTATCTACTTTTTTTTGATAAATTTGGGGTACAAATCCAAGGTAGTATCTATTAAAAGACTCTCACCCATTTCACAATGATCGCTCATCTGAAAGCAAAAGGGATGGTTTTTTCTCTAAGATTGGGCATCTCCAGATAGACGAAAAGAATGCAAAGTATTATTGGAAGAACATTTTACAACTGAAAGTCCATTGGCTAAAGCAAAACTATGAAACGGATGAGAAATATATTTTAAAAGAAAAGAAGAAACTTACCATGCCAGGAAACTGGTGTCTCCTCTCCACAAAGCTCTGTTGGACATCTGAAGCTTTCTCATCTGAAAGGGGAAAAAGAAGGGGTGAAGAGTTATTTTTATGTAAAGCCATCAAAGTAAAATGAAAATAGCAGGAAATATAACAAGAAAAAGGAATACCGATAGAAATATCTTCGTCTTCGGCAAAAAGTGAAGACGGGGAAAAGAGCGCAATGTCCATTCTTCCTTTTCCCCCTTTCTAGGTTCAAGCCGAACAATGTACTGTAAAAAGAGAGAAATCTCGGTGAAAACGAAGACCAAGAAAGCTAAGAAGGCAGTCGTCGGCTTGGTTTTTCCTTGCCAGATTTTATTTGATACGGGCTTATGTGGTCCATTAAGCTAAGTCATTTAGCTTGAACACTTCTGGGCTTCGTTGGCCTATAGATTTAGGCGGCTTTATTAGGCCAATAAGATTTTTATACATTAATCATTTGTAGGATGTATTTTTTTTGGGTAAAGTACACAAATAGCCATCGACTATAGTGCACTGCTTTGTTAAGTCCCGTATCATAAAGTTATAAAATGGTCTCTCGATTTAGGGTGGTGTTTTGTTGAGTCTATCGACTATTAAAAGTTACAAAATAGTCAATAGACTATTCATATATTCCAAACTCGTTATTTTTCGTTAAAAAATTGACGACTTTCTGAGTTGGACGTTAACTTACTAATTGAGATATCATAAAATCATATTTTAATGATATCTATTGGCACCGTTATTATTTTCAAGCACTAACTTAATGACAATATTTCAATTGCTATATCCCAAATGGTTGATATTTTGCAAGCTTAGCCATTGTATCCGCTACTTGATTGCATTCACGGGGAATATAGAAGACTTGTACACGCCAATCTCGTTTTACAATATCCCTTTTATGCAGCAACATTGACGATGCACCCTTTAATTCTGGTTCTCGAACAACAGCAAGTGTTTCTCTACTATCGGTTTCCACAAATATTCTTCGCGCTCCCAAGTCCCAGGCCATATGTAAGTCTTCAAATATTCTCCATAACTCTACGTCCAATGTCGAGCATCTGCTGATAGCTTTTATGAACCCACCTATCCAATCTCCGTGATGATCAAGTAAAGATCCGCCTTAAGTGGTCAACCCCGTTGTATGTTTTCGCGCGCCATCCGTATTTAACTCGGTCCATTCTTCTGTTGGAGGCTTCCAATGCTGTGACTTGTTCACGACAATCCGTCCATTCTTCCATGCATCTTGCACTGTAAAAGCGTGTGCGCCTTCCTGTTGTAGTCTTTTGCTTTGTTGTAATATGCTCTCATCAGTTACAAAATTTGCATTAAAAAATCAAAGCATTTCGTTATGTCCATAAGAACCAATGAATCGCTCCAAATGGAAGGCCTCAATCTTCTGATTCGATTGGATAGTAAGCTTGTTTTCGAGTATTACGGTCAAGCCTAGTAGTCAAGTCTTCATTCATAAATTCTTGAAATAAGTTGTGTTTCACTAGTATGCTCCAGGTAGATAATTGTTTTACTGTCAATCTTCTAATTCGATAGCCGACTGTTGAACCGAGCTAATTCAATTAAATTAATTTCGAAGAGTGAAATCCCTAAGCATTAGTCCTCGGCAAAAGGGTATAATATCTTCATGGGATAGGAAGCGATAGATTTTGTGTAGCAACATAAACCACAAAATAATAGTCTTATGAGATAAAATAACAGAAAAGGTTGCTAGGATATATTAGCCATATAAGCGACAGTTCCACATGTCATGGCGAAACAGCAAAGCGATCAAATCTGCGGACCCCACAAACAGATAAGGCGGAGATAAGGCATCTACTTTTTCATCCGTCAGATAGATACGCCATCTTCATCCGACGTTCTACATCTTCCCTCACGGATAAAATCTCCAAGCCTTTTCATTACCCACTCCCCTTTATTATCAGAACTTAACCTCCCACACATTCACTTTAACTTCACCTTCCTTCGAGTCTACCAATGGCCGCCTCTGCCGCCGCTACATCCTCCTTCATAGGCACCCGCCTCCCCGATGTATACTCAGGCTTGGGGAGAGTCGTTTCCAGATTCGGTTTCGGAGGCAAAAAGGCTGCCAAGAAGTCACAAAGTCAAAGGCGCCAACCTCGATCGCCCTCTGTGGTACCCGGGAGCCGTAGCACCCGATTGGCTTGACGGAACCTTGGTCGGTGACTACGGATTCGACCCATTCGGGTTGGGAAAACCCGCGAGTACTTACAACGATTTGGGATTCTTTGGACCAGAACCTGGCTAAGAACTCGGCCGGTGAGATCATCGGGACAAGAACAGAGATCGCCGACGTAAAGGCAACACCGTTCCAGCCCTACAGCGAGGTTTTCGGACTCCAGAGGTTCCGCGAGTGTGAGCTGATCCATGGCAGGTGGGCCATGCTGGCTACTCTTGGTGCCCTCACCGTCGAGTGGCTTACCGGAGTCACTTGGCAAGACGCCGGCAAAGTTCGTTCACTTAAAAAACTTATTCGCAATAATTAAGATGAGTTTGAGATTTGAGCTTAAAAATGTGCTGATTATTTCAGGTTGAGCTGGTTGAGGGATCATCTTACCTGGGACAACCCCTTCCATTCTCGATGACAACATTGATTTGGATTGAAGTGTTGGTGATAGGATACATCGAGTTCCAAAGGAACGCAGAGCTGGACCCTGAGAAGAGGCTGTACCCAGGAGGAAGCTTCTTTGACCCACTTGGCTTGGCCGCAGACCCGGAGAAGAAGGCCACTCTTCAATTGGCTGAGATCAAGCATGCTCGCCTTGCCATGGTTGCTTTCCTTGGTTTCGCTGTCCAAGCCGCTGTCACCGGCAAAGGTCCTCTCAACAACTGGGCTACTCACTTGAGTGACCCTCTTCACACTACCATTATCGACACCTTCACTTCTTAGTAACACATCCATCCCTTTGCTTTCCTAGATTTTGCTGAATGTAGTGCTTCTATGTTGTAAAAAATTGTAACATTTCCACAATTTCAGCAAACAACGCTATATCTTTTTTATAAGTAGGGGATTTTAAGGTTAAGTACAATGATAGCACGTTCAACAATCACATATGAAAATGATGAACATCATTCAATTAATTTATAATATGTTAAACTATAAAATATTAAATGTATGATTATAAATTAATTAAAAATCTAAAAGTAATTTAATTAAAATACAATAATTATAAAATATTAGATTTTATAATTTTATTGTAATTATAATTAGATCACATATTAATTTGAGAAATTTATAAACTCTAACTCATTTTTATAGTTTTGAAGTTCCCTTCCCATCGATATCATCTTTCACCACCGGCGAACGACAAAGACTAAATCGACTGCGCAAGATGATACTAATGGTGACGACGGTATTGGCGATAACAACGACGATGGCGATAACAATGACGATAGAACGGTGACAGCAACGACGGTGGCGACGATAGTGACTTTAGAGCTATAAAAATAAATTAGGGTTTATAAATTTTCTAAATTAACATTTAATCTAATGATAATTAAAATAAGATCATAAAAACTAATGTTTTATAAATATTATATTTTAATTAACTTACATTTAGATTTTTAACTAATTTATATTAGTAAGTTTAGTACTTTATAATTTAAAGTTTTATAAATTAATTTAATAGTGTTCGTCGTTAACAGTGCTCATCTACGCCGGCTAGCGTTATAGAATTTTACTAAGTTTAAATGCTTTTAATCTTTTGATAATGAACGCTTATACTTTTATTTATGTAATGCTCAAAATCATGATCTCAAAAGACAAAAACAAATCTCTAAACCTCATGCAGTAAAAAATGTTACCCTCTTCGTCCCATAAAATATGTATCTTTTGATTTTTAAAATTGTATCATTAAAAATATTATATTAAAAAAGTTAACAAACGACAACACTTATATTTTTTAACCCTTGTATGTCATACTTTTTTACACATATTAAAATAAATCTATCAATCACTTATTGAGGATAAATTTGTCTTTTATGTTAATCAAATATATCTCCTAAAATTATATGCATAGCCAATATAAGACACAAATTATAAGACGGAAGGAGTATGAAATTAGCTATATCGAGAAATTATTTGATGAACCTTATTCACCACCTCATCCATGGTCTCTATCCAATTAAATGAGTACACATCACATTTATTCTCAACATCATATTTCCGAATTAAAATTTCCAAATCATTATCTTCTTTCCTATCTCATCCTCTTCTTCCCCAATTTTGAAACATCAAATCTTCATATTTATTTTTGATTTGCTTTTTATTTAATTCACCATTGTAATCGAGATTTAAAATCAATATAGATTCTTAATTTCCTTTTGAATTTTCTGTTTTTATCGTATCTTTTTACATTTTTCAATTTTTTTCTTAACTAACAAAAAGGTCATTAACTTTAATAGAAAACAAGGAAAAAAACTATAAACTTGAATTTAAAATTTTATATTACTTTTAAAACTCGATTATAATAGTGAATCAAAGGAAGTGCATAGCAAAATATTGAGATTTGATGCTTTAAGATTGGAGAAGGAGAAGATAGAATAAATAAAAAGATAATGATTTGAAAATTTTAATTTATAAGGAAATATGATGTGGAAAATAAATTTGACATGTACTCATTTAATTGGATGAGGATCATGGTTAAAATGGTAAACAAGATTCATAAAATAATTTCTCAGTTATATCACTTCATCCTAACTTAACCGAAATAAGTGAATGCGAGAAAGAGTATCAAAACAAGAATAATAGAAAATTCTTGCTTAAATTTCAATTTAAACCATAATCAAATTACATGTGATGGAATATGGCTTAAGGTTTAATTCTAAACCACGACCAACAAAGTTATAATATTAGCAACAAATTAAATAAATTAAAGGTGGCATGATAAGCTACATTTTGTTTTGTTTTCCTGTCGAGTTTTAACACGGACTTTAACTTGAGTAACACCATTTTTCTTTAGTATACAAAATGGAAGCTAAACTATCTACTGAAGTAGAGATATCACTTCAGGTTTATTAAAAGTAAAGATGGATGAGGAAGAATGGATGCGGGATCGATATGACAAATTAGATCTAATTGAAGAAAATAAGTTGAAAGTCATTTTTCATGGTGAGATGTACCAAAAACGAATGATGCAAGCACACGAAAAGAAAGTTTGTTCAAGAAAATTTCATGAGATATATAGTGTTGAAAAAGATATTACTTATCTATAAAGATTTTCAAGGAAAATGAATGTCAAATTAAGAAGAATCTTACGTCGTGAAGAAAGTTTTTTTTTTTGGATGAGCATTGATATGAACAAGATAGATGTATCTAATTTATCTAATCTAATAAATTTAAATGCCGCCAAGAAATATTTCACTTGAATGGTTAAAAAAAAGGAGGAACCGAGTTGAAAATCCGAAAGAACGCTTTGAGAAAAGACACTTTAATATATCTAAGGTGAAAATCCCGAAAAAGTGTTTTAGGTATAAAAGAAGTGAGAAGCAAAAGGAGAGAAAAACTAATAATAAAATGAAGGTTAAATGAAAACTCGTAAAAGACATCTAAAAAATTAAAATCTGAAATGTCAGCTTGAGTTACTTCAAAATTTGTGCATGGTAAAGGTCCCTAAACGAAAGAGATTGAATTGGAAAGGTCTCAACATAGAACACGATTAAGATTTAATCGAATTGGCACTTCAAAATTCAATTTAACATGGATATGACAATATGATAATGATATTATATAAATACATTATTGATAATAGTCCTAATACCTATTTAGGAACTATGATCTTAAATCCTTCTAAGGAGTATCGATATCATATGTGCAATACTGATACTAAAAAACGTTCAAAATATTTTGTTCAGCCTGACATTAATACCTCATATTTAGGTAACGAAACCATATGCATTATATAATCAAATTCTTGTGAGATTAACGCATTTTGTGACCGGTTTGTAATTGAAAATGTGATAAAAAAAAATATATTATACATTTACATATACATATGTAAGTCATATTTCAAAAATAGGTAGTTAAAACTTAAAAGTAGACAATTTTTAAATTAGGTGGTTAAAAGTCTCAATTAATATCCTTCTTTCCCTATATAGGGATTGTTCAAAAAAAATTCTTAAAGTATCTCATTTTTTTTAATCTTGATACCTAAAGTATTTTATATCAAAATAAACACTTGAAATATACCATTTTTTAATCTTAAATCGACACATTATATTAACTAAAAAATTTTAATACTTAAATAAAATATATAATAATTTTAAGTATTTATTTTGATAAAAAAACTTTATAAACTTAAATCAAAATAAAAAAAAATTACTTTTTTTGTATATAAAAGGGTAAACTACTCCAATGGTCACTAATGTTTAGGTAAATGTTCATTTTTATCACTAATGTTTAAAAAGTCACAAATCGATCATTAACATTATATTTTGTTATAAAATGATCTTCGACGTTAATAGCCGTCAACGAAGCGTTACTACAGTAACGGAATGTTGACATGACACGTTAAACTAGTTGAGTCAGCATATTTGACCAGCTGTTTGACTCTTCTTCTAAACCGTTAGTGATTTGCTGCTAAGCAAAGCTACTGAAACATCATTCTAAAATGGGATATTGCTGCTGATCATGGCTACTCAAACATCATTCTCAAATGGGATAATATGCTAGTGATTTTATTTACAAAATTAAGTTAAAAAATTGTCCAATCAAAGAAAAATCTCGAGGGCAAAGAAGACTTGAGGGCATCGATCTACGAACACAAATCGACGATGTGTTGATCTTTCTCGGCGAGCTGATGTTTAAGAGAAGAAGACTCGGCTTCGTTTGAAGAAACGCACGTGGAGAGAGCAATGGAGGTTATTACGGGCTACATCGAGTTGATCGAAAGGATCAGAGGATAATACTTGAAACACTTCCTCGAGAAGATCCAAAGTCGAACCACCCGATTCTTTCGCCAACATTATTATTATTTTTTGGTTCTAGATCATCTATATTCTATTGGCTTCCTTTTTGTTTCGCCTTTTTTCTTTATATTATATGAAAAAGGTAATAGGATTAGATAAATGGCATAGATGGGTGGGATATGGATTTCGGACACGGGGGTGAGAGAATTGAGAATGTCAGACCGTGTTGGGTGATCCATAATACATTTTTTTCCTTTCAGACAAAACAACGAACATGTGGCATGCATATGGATACGCAATGCACAGAGAGTGTCTACTCGCCTTTTTTCTTTATATTATATGAAAAAGGTAATAGGATTAGATAAATGGCATAGATGGGTGGGATATGAATTTCGGACACGGGGGTGAGAGAATTGAGAATGTCAGACCGTGTTGGGTGATCCATAATACATTTTTTTTCCTTTCAGACAAAACAACGAACATGTGACATGCATATGGATACGCAATGCACAGGGAGTGTCTACTCGCCTTTTTTCTTTATATTATGAAAAAGGTAAAGGATTAGATAAATGGCATAGATGGGTGGGATATGGATTTCGGACCGGGGTGAGAGAATTGAGAATGTCAGACCGTGTTGGGTGATCATAATATTTTTTCTCCTCCTTTCAGACAAAACAACGAACATGGGGCATGCATATGGATACGCAATGCACAGAGAGTGTCTACTCGCCTTTTTTCTTTATATTATATGAAAAATGTAATAGGATTAGATAAATGGCATAGATGGGTGGGATATGGATTTCGGACACGGGGGTTAGAGAATTGAGAATGTCAGACCGTGTTGGGTGATCCATAACATTTTTTCCTTTCAGACAAAACAACGAACATGTGGCATGCATATGGATACGCAATGCACAGAGAGTGTCTACTCGCCTTTTTTCTTTATATTATATGAAAAAGGTAATAGGATTAGATAAATGGCATAGATGGGTGGGATATGAATTTCGGACACGGGGGTGAGAGAATTGAGAATGTCAGACCGTGTTGGGTGATCCATAATACATTTTTTTTCCTTTCAGACAAAACAACGAACATGTGACATGCATATGGATACGCAATGCACAGGGAGTGTCTACTCGCCTTTTTTCTTTATATTATATGAAAAAGGTAATAGGATTAGATAAATGGCATAGATGGGTGGGATATGGATTTCGGACACGGGGGTGAGAGAATTGAGAATGTCAGACCGTGTTGGGTGATCCATAATACATTTTTTCTCCTTTCAGACAAAACAACGAACATGTGGCATGCATATGGATACGCAATGCACAGAGAGTGTCTACTCGCCTTTTTTCTTTATATTATGAAAAATGTAATAGATAAATGGCATAGATGGGTGGGATATGGATTTCGGACACGGGGGTTAGAGAATTGAGAATGTCAGACCGTGCTGGGTGATACATAATATATTTTTTTTCCTTTCAGACAAAACAACGAACATGTGGCCTGCATATGGATACGCATGCACAAATAGTGTCTCTCGAGAGTGTTTCATTTTAGCTGATATACATAATATATTTTTTCCTTTCAGACAAAACAACGAACATGTGGCCTGCATATGGATACGCAATGCACAAATAGTGTCTACTCGAGTGTTTTCATTTTAGCTGATATCTATCCTTTTTGGTTCAGAATCATACACAGGGTTTTGTTGGTCTTTAAATGGAGTCTAGAATTGGTCATTGGAGAAAGCTTTGGTTCAGAATCATACACAGGGTTTTGTTGGTCTTTAAATGGAGTCTAGAATTGGTCATTGGAGAAAGCTTTGAAGCTTTTTCTTGGGCTTATGTTGATATGCAATTTCTAGCCTCTTTGATGAATTAGCTCCAATTTTTGTGTTTGATTTTAGTGTATAACTGTAGCTTTTTATCCCAATAGCATCATTCTCAGCTTAGGTTAAAGTGTAATTAATAATAAAAATAGAGATAATATTAAAATAAAGAGGATGTTGTAAAAGAAGTAGTCAAACGGTCGATTAAACTCAACAAACGATTGGTTAAAAATACTAAGTCAGTTGGTTTAACGACGTCAACATTTCATTACTATAATAATGATTGTTAACATCAAGTAATAATTTTGTAATAAACAATAATTTTAGTGATCGGTTTGTGACTTTTCAAATATCAATGGTAAAACGAATACTAATCCAAATATCAGTGACCATAAGTTTTAACCTATATAAAAAAGTGGTATTCTTACATAATTATTTTCGATTTAATCCTCTATGTAATATGTATGTAATGCACGACCGCCATTACTGTTCCTTGATTGATTTCTTTCTTGATCCTGTTGTTGTTTCCTCACATTTATCTTGTTTTTTTAATTAATTTATTTGATTTCTTTCCGAAGGTTCAGTGGAAAGATTGATAGTTTGATTAAAGAAAGAATGGGAAGGGTGTTCATGATTACTCTTGAATGAAACGTTTATAGCTGCAAGCACTGCCATACCCATCTGGCTCTCCTCGATGACATCATTTCTAAGGTTCTCTCTTTTAAATTGCTAATGAGATCTTTTGATCTTTCCCCATGTTTCTTTCCATGTTTCACGCCTTCATTTTCTACATTGTTGTTTTGTGGGTTACATTTGATCCTGGGTTCCTTTTCTGAAGTTTTGTTTGGGTTATGGGAAATTGATAAATCTTGTGATAGACGAACCAAATATCATCAAAATAATAATAGGGATTTAACTCTAATAGACTGATTCATCTTCAGTTTTGATTTTTGGATTTCTAAGTTTTTTCCTGGGGATGAACATGTTGCACCATAACATTCAATGTGATTCCTTTTTGTTTTGCAATTGTGGGTATTAGTTGAATATCCAGACAAAAGGAAGCAGTAGAATAGCAGGTTGTAGATCAGGCTATCACGTTAAATTTTGGATACATTTAGAATTACCTCATCCTTAAATGTAGATAGAAATATCTGATTTGTACCAAGTTTTCATCAATAGATCTTTCCTTACTTGAATCTAGATGGATTTTCTGTCTTTTCTCTTCATCTAAACCATGCGTTCTCATTGTTCCCTGCATTATATCAGGTATCTTTCAGCAATACAGGCACATACTAACCTCATCCTTTACCTGTGTTTCAGTCTTTCCGTTGCAGGCATGGAAAGGCTTATCTCTTTGATAAGGTGTAAGTGTTTCTTTGTTGCATGCTCGATAAAGCCATTTTTTTCTCTGCAGAGTGCTGTCTATAAATATTCTTCTCTTATAAGCAGTTATGTTTGTTCATGTTTTTGTTAAGCTAATTATTATATATAATTCTCTGTTTGTTGCAATCTGTACTGAAGGTATGTATTTATAAGGAATTGTGTTTATTTTCACAAAAAAGGAAAATGAATAAGATCATCTTATTTTCTACTAAATACACACCAAGGCAATTTCTGGTTCACGGAAAAGATTATTATCGAATAATATTTTTTTCAAAAAAAGATTCTCACAAGGTGGTAATATCTCATTACCAACAGTAGTGTTTTATTCTTCAGGAATGACACCAATTTCTTAGGTATTGCACAATTCCAACTCTGTTGGACTAAAATATCACTTAAATAATGTTATTTTTTCATTACAGATCATCCTCTTTCATATAACATATTCACTTATTCAACCTTGATTCCATTTTTTGATGAATATGATTGATGGGGTAAATTTACAAGCTATCTTGGATTTCTTTGGTTTTGTTCAAACTCTAAATTTAATATACGTTATAATTAATATCATATGAAGATTATTTGTGCAAAAACTTTATAGAAGAAAAATATATAAAATAAAAATAATAGAAAAACTACTTTTTTTTGAAAATTTATTGTTAAAAAATAACATGAAAGATGTAATCTTGTACTAAAGAGAACACAGGACTGGCTATAATTGCAATTCCTCGACGATTCGGGTAATAGGAAGTGAAAGAATTGAAGCAATTTTCAATTTAATTGAAAATATATCATAATGATAATTTGGTAAAATATGCATTCAGGTGATCTTATGCTCCTTAACCAAACACAGTAATCTTACGTTACTTCAAACAAACTAATAAGTTCATGTAACATTCATGTCAAGTAATACTACATTCCAAGAATTTTATTATCAGTGTTAATGTTATGTTCTGTGAACCAACCGTCCCCTAAAAGGTAAACAATTTGAACCAATCAGTTGGTACGTGGTATTCTAGACAATGTACAGACAGAGAGACAGCCAAGAATCAATACATTGGTCATTCCTTTTCTGTCACGGCCCTTCATTCTGCTTATTGTTTGTCTAACCTCTAGACTATAAGTGAAGTGTGCTAATTGTTGCAAGAAAAACCATGGAATACGTAAATGCGAAATGTTTATGATGGAATTAGGAGTCTTGGGGCATGCCTCATTACTTATATGTATCCTGCAGAAATGCAGATATGAATGCTTCAATTTACTTATTTTCTTTCTTAATCCATAACAGTGTGGATATCTCAGTAGGAGAGAAAGAAGACCGTATGATGATGACTGGAATGAACACCGTCGTTGATATATTCTGTGTGGGGTGTGGCTCAATTGTGGGATGGAAATACGTAAGAAATAGTTTTGCAATTTTTGGAGTTTTTGCTGGTTTGATTTCTTTCGAGGCATAGTTCCACGAGTTAATTCAGTAGAGCATCTTTCCGTTTTGCTATTGTGAATTGTGAGTGATTGATTCTAGGAGTCTGCACATGAAAAGACTCAGAAGTACAAGGAGGGAAAATTCATTCTTGAGAGGTCCCATCTTCACTGCCTCTTCTGGTTGCATATAACAATAGCTACATCTTCTCAAATGTATTTTTCCTTTTTTGAACTGTGGAGCAGGTTTAAGGTGTTGGGTCCTGATGGAAGCAACTACATGGTGAGCCATGAAGCTCTGGTTAGTGGCAGTGATGCCGAAAATGCTTGATTGCTTAGCACTTCAATTTGGCAGATTGCCATATGACCAAATGTTTTAATTGTACATTCGCTTCACCTCGTGTGATTTTTGGCCTCTTAATGTGGAAAATTTCTGTTAGAGAACCTCTGCAAATGATACTAGAATGATACCAATCTTCCAAAGATTGATTGCTTGTGAAATATCTATGCAAGTCTTGTTAGCTACTGCTATTATTTTCTTTTGGTTGCCCTCCTGGCCAAACCCTGAATAATTTGGAGGAAAAACCCTGAATAATTTGGACCGACCCGTGTCGCAACTTGCTTAAACGATATCAATTGATTGCTACTTGAATTAACCCTTACTATTTTTAATACAGCACACACCATAAACGAATAGTACAAAATTCTGGTTGTTTCACATGGTGGAATACACAAGAACCTAACAGAATAAAAGGAAGCAATATTTGTATGTACATACTAACAGCACTAATGCAGTACCAGTAGCCTAATCCTCTCATTTAACAGAATTGAAGCATGGCAATGAGCATTCATCCTTAAAAGACTATAAGATCTAATTTAGAGTAAATGAGCTATCGAAATCTTAAACCATTGAGAAGCTTCTGCAACGCGTTTCGACCCCATTGGACTTCACTTTGCAACACGTTGCTTCGAAAAGACTCCGGATCGGGTTGTTCTTCTTCAGCTACTAGGGGATCCTGAATATGTTGGTTGAGCTGCTCCTCTTCTTCGGCTACTAGGGGCTCCTGAATATGTTGGTTGATCTGTTCCCCGTCATCCTCGATTACTGCAGTTGTTTCTTCTTCCTGTGGTGTATCTTCGGGTTCTTGCTTTTCTTCTAGCTGAATATTGTCACGTTGGGCATTAAGATACAATAGAAAAGATGTAACCAGATACTGATATTGAAGTAACATGAAAGTTCTTAACAGGAATAGAAAAGATGTCAAGGAAAAAAAGAGAAGGCAGAGCAATACACTCATCAGGGATTACCTCAACAATCTGTGATTTAAAGCTTCATCAACTCCAATTGATGCACGGTTGTACAATTCTTCACATCTTCACTCACTATTGATTCCTCAGCTGACATTGTTTCTACTGGACTCAAGCCAGGCGCTAGGATAGGTTTACCTTCATATGCTACTACTAAATTTCCCTTGGCATCGGCAGTTTCTACTCTTTCATTATCTCCAAGGTCTTCTGCTACCAAAGCATTCATATTCGAAACATCCAAAGCCTCATCATAGGGGTAGTTAGGTTTATTCGAACCAAGCACTCCATTATCTGCATTTGCTATAAAGTATTCTGTTGGGTAACTAATATTCTCTGCAACGATAGCCAAGGGCTTCTCTAGTGAACTATTACCATCGCCGGTGACTGATTCCTTGGACAATGCTTGTAATTGCTCCTTTCCAGGTGAGCTGGGATTTGCCTCGGGGATTAGTTCTTCCTCTGGAGGTGTCAAGTTTTCTACAACAATTGCCATCTCAGAATCAAGAAGAGGTCCATCTTCGTTAACTATTGGCTCTTCCTCTAAGACTTTCTGATTTTCAGCTTTTTCCCAGTCCTCACAAACGATAATAGTATTATCGGTTTCACGGGATTCGAAAACCCGATCAGGGTCCGGTTGCCATAAAAGGTTACCGGTGCATGTTTTGAGAAGGAATTTTGGATAGATACTCCAACTGGCATGTACTGAGCAAGTTCAAAATTACAAATCTCATCAATACATAGCCTTTGCAAGTTTCAGAAGAAAAAACAATTCACATTCTGCATAAAGTTCGTCCCTACCAGCTCTGCTGTCCAAACATGTCCTTCTGACCAAGTCAGTGGTAGAGCACTTTCAGGATCCCATAACCCTAACATAGGATGATCCCCTACTATGAAAAAATGCTCTCCAAAGGAGCACTCTTTATGCAACTGGAACTTTACATTAACAGTCTTTGATGGAACTGTGCACCAGAGGATTTGGGATGAGACTCAGAATTTCAGGGGGGGGGGAGAAAGAAATAGTTAAAAGGGCTAAAAAGATCTTACTTTCTTGTTCAGGTTGAGTTTCAATATTCTCCAAGCCCACCTGCATAAAGGAAAATTTCCATTTGAAACTGAGCTTAGAATCAACAGCAAGAATTACAGTCTCCAGAAAGCAAAACCAATCAAGAACCAGACAAAGAAAAACATAAAAAAAGCTGTATGAGTTTCAATAAATGATAGGAGGAAAAACAAAACAGGGATAAAGGGTACATGCCGGTGAGTCTGGTGACGGAGAAGAAGATGAAAGAATAGGCTGAAGACGGCTGTGTTGCAGAGAGAGCAAATGCAAGAACCGGATTCTAACATCTTTTGCAGGGTATAAGCATAATTCAGCTCTATTAAAAGAAAGATCCTTGAAGGAACAAGAAAACCCTACATCTTTATGCTTGTCAATGGTGGCCTTGGAACAAGAACTTGGTAAAGTTTTCATCTTTCCCAACAGTATCTCTCCCTCTATGTATCTCTGCACAAGAAGCATTCTGTAGTTGCGGTTCATAGAAATCAGTGCCGCAAATAGTACTACACTAATAGCATCATCTTCCACGTGGCGTTTAGACACTTAATCAGGTTAGAGTAGAGTTGAAAGCGAGTTTTTTGTCAGAATCTCAAGCCTCTGTGTTTTGATCCGAGACCGTTGGATTGGAAAATGGGCGGTGACATAAGTATGTCTCGTCATTATTATATAGTTTTACTAGTAACTTTGGATCTCCAACTAGAAATGATCATACAGCTCAGTTGGTAGAGTACAAGGTTTTTAACCTTTAGGTCGTGGGATCGAGTCCCACGGAGGATATTTCATAATTCAGATGTCTCTTACGAAAGCTGCTCTCAACCTGGTGTTGGGGGTAGCCTACTATCTTACCTCCCCTTACCCCATACATATAGAAAAAAGCGACAGCTATTTTGGATCTCCAACTAATGATGAAAGCTTACAGGAGCAGCTCCATTTTTGGAAAGTTGTTTGTTTCAGGGTTCAGCCGATAAAGCTTTCGGCTTTTAACACTGTCCCCAATCCATTCAATCTTTAAATGTACTTTTGGGAGAATAGGGTGAGAAAAATTTTGAAGTATTCAAGTTTTATAACTCAAAATTAATTTATTTTTTTTAAATTGAGTTGAATTTATAAAATTTAAGTCGAATCGAGTTGAATTGTTTAAATTTTTATACAAATTTAAGTATAATTATTTATAACATTAAAAGTACGGATTGCTTCAAATTTTAGGACTTTTCTAACCATATAAAATATCTATATTCTTTACATTATAATGTTACTTAATAATTAAATACAATTTAAAATTATAAAATATATTTATAATATATTTTGAATAATGTTTAAGGCTAAAGTATTGATGAAACCATAAACTAGTCAATAAATTGATGGGGAAAGAATATGAAAACAATTAAAGTTAAAAGATTAAATTGAGTAAAATAAAAAATTAAGGATAAATAAAAAAAAGTACATTTTTAGTAAAAACTGAATTAAAGTTATATACGTATTCTATAGTGGTATGAGAGCATGTGGTTCAAATTTAGTCAAAACAGACTTAAAATGAGTGATGAATCGAATAAATAAGGAAATCATGTTAAATCTAGGGACTAAATTGAAAAATATAAAAAATTATTGAAAAGTGAAATTGGAAGTATGTATGTATTCTACGATGGTTTAGGACATTGTGGAACAAATTTGATAAAAAAGTGGACTTAAAATGAATGATGAATTGAATGAATAAGGAAATTAGGGACTAAATTAATCGCAAAACTGTAAAAATACTCTACCAATTTTTTTAGTTTTCCGAGTGACTCAAAAATTTCAAATCTCAACATGAGTTGAACTTAAACCAACTCGATAATTCAAGTTGAATCGAATAACTAGGTTCAAATAACTCAAAGTTAAAAAAATAAATTTTCAAGTCAAATCGAATTTTATTCACCTCAAAAGAATCAATTAAATCATATATATTTGATACAATATCATAATAACCGTTATCTATTATATAAATAATAATTTTATTTTTTACATTTTAAAATATTTGTACGTTTATTTTAGACTAAAATATTTTTTTAAAAATTTAAATTATTAGTTAATTATCGATCAACATGGTTTATTAATTAAAACAATTCATATAAATTAAAAATTGATCTGATATATGGTAAAAAAATATCGTATGGGAAGAAACAGTATTGTATCAAAACCCTCCTCCCTTCGCGTGTCGTGCTTCTGTTGTCAAGACGTTCCCTCTATGCATCTTAGGTTACTAAGGAGGAGTGCTTCATCTATTTGAGTATTGAAAGCAATACCTGTCCTTGTTGGTGGGCCTCCTCAATGCCAGTGATTAGAGGTTGTGTCTGTGAGTTTTGCTCATCAAATTAAATTTTTACTGATATTTTGGTTGGACAAAATGCTTACAAGTGTAATCAAAGGTGTTACGAAAAGTCAGAAGGATTTATCATTTGCTAGGTCGTTGGTGTTTTGATGCAACTCTTCAGATTAGATAGGTTCAATAAATGACTGATTTAAGGGATTCATCGTGACTGAGTTTTTTTTGATAGGATACTTCACACTCACTGCAATATTTTTTATGGGAATAAATAGATTGCATTAGTAGTTAGTAGTTCACCCCTTCTTATTCGGGTGGAGAGTCGTTACAGGTGTAAAGACAGTCGTTAGCAAGTGATTTATTAAAAAAAGGCAAGAGTAGAAAGATGAATAATGTAGATGAGAGGAAGTTAGAAAAGAGGGAAAGAGAGTTTTCCTATGTTTATAATTTTTTTAATTATTGATAACATACAACTTACAACACAACTACTCGAACCTAAGGCTTTTAGGGAGAACATTATTGAGTTTAATCAATTATGGTTTATCACAATTTTTTTTCAAATGAATTTAATATCGTCAAAAGAAAATAAAATTAATAATTAAAACTTTATATTATAAAAAGTTATTTGAAACATTTATTTATGTTTTTGGATTGTGGATATTTGATGGAATCAAATTGTTTGGTCCCAAAATGTGGTTAAAACTAAAAGTTTGTGATGACATGATAATTGGCTTTTTCGTAGGATTATAGCCATAGCCTCATTCCTTCCTTTAAAACCTCATCCACTTGTAGCGTTTATTTTCCATTTTGCTTTAAAAGGGACATGAAAACAAACATCTATGTACCAGTTATGACGAATATAAGATTTAATGTTAAAAAAACGAATTCACAAAATTTTTTAAAAGGATTTATTTATAAAAATTAAAAAAAAAAAATTAAAATATATTATCGATGAAAATATAAAAAATATACATTAATTTAAGATTTTTAAGAAAAACGATGGTGGCAATTGACCTGTTTTCGGGTAATAAGATAATATTTATTTAAAATTATTCTAAATCCATTGATATTTAATGTTTATACTTTAATATTTACTATACTCAAACTCGAAATCTAAAAAATAACAACAATTCATCCTAACTGATGCAGAAAGTTCCAAGAATCAACCCAGCGGCGGCGGCTGCTCAAACACTCGCCAATTATGACTAGAAAAATATATTCAATCAAACCCGGGTGGATAACCACGACAGCCGTAGACCAATAATAAATCATTTTAAAGAAAACAAGAGGTCAATTCTTCTATATTCCTATACTATAAAAGAGTTACAGATTTAATCTTATCCTTTTTAAAATTTAAAATTTCAATCACTATTAAAATATAACCATGAAATTTTAAACTGAATTATGTTCACCATTTCATTTTTCACAAGTTATAGATTTAAATTTTATTTTATTTAATAATAGAAGTGATTAATATATAAAATCTATTTAAAATCTTTATTATTCATTGACAAAGTATTCACTTTACAGACGCAACTGAAGTCATTCAATAGACATACCCGTAGTTGAGTATGGGTAGGAGAGACACTTGCTCAGAGTCCCCTTCTACTCATGGTTCAAAATTATGAATTCCACATATACTTAAAAAAGATAATTATCTATTTAGTCATCATCTATTGTTTTATTTTTGTTTTCGTCATTTATTATTATTATTTTCAAATCACACTTAACATTATATTTTTTATTTTTTAGTTTCCCATCATTAACAAATTAAAAGCGATGTTGATGTAGTATTTTAATATTTCTCATTTAATATTCTTTATTATTATTTGACAAGATGGAGAAGATTAAATCGACCTTGACCCTCTTAAATGCTTGTTTTGTGTGAGCAGTGATGTTTAATAAAATTTCTTGATATTTTCTGTTTAAAATTTGATTTATTTATAAGATGGTTTATTAAGCATGATAAAGAATACAATTTGATTCATTTAAACTTTATTCTTCAGTTTGATCATCTTAATTCTTTTTAATTTAGTCATGTAATTACGATGTTATTCGAGTTAAAATCAAAATTTAAAATTTTAAATATATAAAAAGTAAAGTGAATCAAATTAAAATGTATGGATTGAATTCATAACTTTTATATAGTATAATAGCTAATGATAAAATTTTGACAAAAGGGAAAACAAAAGCCAGCCCACCAACCAAGGAAACTCGTAGTTTTTCATATTTATATGTTACTGGATAGAAGGCCTTGGACGTGTTTCTGACCCTGTTTTATTACTTTAAAACCATTCTTTGCTCTGACCGCCACGAAAGCTTCATTTCTTCAGCTCTAAATTCGTTTTGCTTCTCAAAACTCAACCCTTCAAGCTTCAGCAGTTCAACACCATGCCAATTATAGAATAGTTTATCATGAAATCTTTGGTACGGCTAGTTAGCCGGGTCAAATCGCCTATAATCTCTATATCTTGTTCTCCCTTCTCGTTCTTCAGGTTGCGTACAGTATGGTCTCTAACGTGTCGCTGCAATCGGATGCTTTCACTGAAAAGAAGATTCCGAATTGATGCAGAATAAGAAGTTTATGAGAAGAATGAATTCGGGTGTTCTTCCTATATCGTTGACTATTCCCACAAAGGAATATGATTGTTGAAGCTAATAGTGAAGATCAAATTCAGGGAGAATCCGGAGAAAACTCCGGAATCCGATATTTTTCTGGTCAGACGAGTTGACGGAGAAGTTCCACGGTCGAGTCCTGGAGTTCTTTAACCGCGACTGCGAGCTGCAATTCTTCATGACATGGATTTCAAGTGTAGAGTCTTTTGGTAGAAGAGAAATCTTAGCCGTGGGAAGTGTTTTCAAATCCCATCCCAATGGTTGCTTGATGATTCTATCGAGAACCATGGACTCTCCCCAGGGTTACTTGGTCCTTAAACCACTACTCGATCGAGGCTTCAAAGTTCGGGCTGTGACACCGGACTTGCCGTTTTTGCTCAAGAACACACGGCCGAAGCTTGGTTCGATAACATCCAGAGTGGTAAAAGGATCCGGTGTGATCCCACTGGCTCAGAATCTATCCAATTTAATGAGACTTGCGGTCTTGTACAAGTACGGAGGCGTTTACTTGGATACCGATTTCATAGTGGTGAAGAGTTTCAAAGCGTTGAAGAACACTATAGGAGCTCAAAGCGTCGATTCGACGTCGAAGAACTGGACGAGATTGAACAACGCTGTGCTGGTATTCGATATGAACCATCCTCTACTCTTCAAGTTCATTGAGGAATTTGCTTTAACATTTGATGGTAACAATGGGGACATAATGGACCCTATATGGTTTCCAGGGTAGTTCACAGAGTTGAAGGCAGACCGGGTTACAATTTCACTATCTTGCCACCTATGGCCTTTTATCCTGTTGATTGGATTAAGATAGGGAAACTGTTTAAGATGCCGAAGAACCAGACTGATTCGAAATGGATCGAAGCTAAGCTGCATCAGCTAAATGAGAAGAGTTATGGAGTTCATCTATGGAACAAGCAAAGTAGCAAATTAATGATTGAAGAGGCAAGTGTTATGGGAAGATAATATCAGAGCACTGTGTTCTATGTAAACAGGCATACACTTCTTGAAACTATACAGCTTATTCGAAACATATACTGTAAATGTAATTTATCTGTAAATCATTGCTTTTTGACTGCAAATGTGAATGGAGTGAAATTAGAACAATCTACCACAAATCATAATCCTAAGTCTTTTGAATCTCAGTCTCAATCTAAATCCTGGCAGCTTCCTGTATGACTTTTTCCTGGTCAATCTCTGTTTACTATTTCTTATTTTCCTATTGTTGAATCTACTAGATTCTTTCTCCTTAAAACTATCATCCGAATCGAAACCGGTTAGGCTACCGGTTTCGAAGTTATTTAACGATCCAATCCGCTTAATTGATGTCCATGGATCTTCTACTTCACCATCTGTATCACTTCCCCATAATGGTATAGATTTTAGAACTGGTGAGCCACTGTAATCCTGGAAATGAGTTAATAAACTGGTGTGTTCCATTTCGATAATCTCTTCAAGATGTGCTTCCACTTTTCATCAATTCTAGTAAACTGCTGCTTCGTCGAGAAGAAGAAACCGAGGAACTCGAAGACGATTCTGATGAAGACCGATACAGGGATTTCTGATGCTGGATTATCCATCTGATCCTTTGTTTTTGAGCTTCCGAGTTGATGGAATAAGGATTCTCTTCATCTTGCTCTTCGGTTATCTCCGATGATATCATAATCTAAATGCCTTAAACCACCAAATGAACGAATTAGAAACAGAGTTGTGTGTTATGGAGATGCTCAATACGGACATAAGAAGAAATAAAAAAGAACAGGAAGACAGATGGCTACAACCGCCCAAAAACAAAAGCAAAAGCCGGCCATAGGGCCAAAAGGAAAAAGTCTTTGTTTTGTGTTACCACATTACATATGTTCCAAGCTATATTGCTATAACAGTTCCAGAATAGGAGATTACCCAACGATTTAACTGCTATTGTTTTAATTGTTAGGCATATCTACAAGAGAACCTGTAACTAGACACAAGGATTTATCCAACCACCATGTCTCAATCACTTCCTTCAACCAACAAAATTCTCCTTGAGATCATTCATTTTACCCTACAGGATTCATTACATATAAATAATCACATTCCATGCTGCAACAACGCACACTTCTACTCATGGCCATTATTACGGCAACTGCTGACACATTCAGCTTCTTTCCTTTAAAATATTAGATTGATCATTTTCCAAAAATATTCTCAATTCTGTAAATATTTTGATTTGAGAATCCATGAAGTAGACCCCGTGTTAAAAGAGAATGTTGTTATCTCTAAAGGTTACGAGTTCAAGCAACTGTGTTATAGGGTGTATTTGTTGTCAATTGATTTAGTATTTAAGATAAGGTATTTTAGTTCGGAAAAGTTAATGGAGGCAGATTTGATGATGGTAACGATGGTGTTATTATTTTTTGAGTTATGGAATGAATTAAAATTGATTTCATATTATAATCACCAATGTGGATTAGGTGAAAATACACCACATGTCAAAATTACAGCTATAAATTTGAAGACAAACTTTTACAATTTATAAGCACTCAACCATTTATCAAACGTGATATTGCTCTAACTGGACATCCTTGGCCTTTAAAGGAACATACTCCTAGGTAAACGTCCAGGTGGTTCGACAAGGCAGATCTATCGATGTTTCATGGTGGTAAGATTTGCAGACAAAGTAAATCACTGGCTGGATAACTAATCAAAGAGAGTCAACATGGAATGCAAACAAACAAATCATCGCATAACAACCCTAGTACTCATGCCGGAGTCACTTCCCTGCAACACCAGCGTCTGAAATGCACACTGGAGGGCGGAGGCGGCGATTCCCAGTATCAGAAAAATGAAAACCGCCACCAATATATTCCCTTTATTAGGTTTTTGCCCTTCACCATCGCGTTGAAACCGTAGGCCTCTTCTAAAACGGAGACGACGCTAGCCAAGTGCCAGATTACGGTCAAATACAAAAGCCCCAGTAAGTACAAAACGGCTAAAATAATCGACACCGGCAAACCCGAATCGCTTCCTCCGATTAAAACGACGAAAACAAACAAAACGGCCCATGTTAAAAGGTGGTAGAAAAATATGGCGACTAAAATGCATAAGAAAGTAACCATCAGCCGCTTCCAGACCTTGGGAACGACGCCGATGACTTTGCTGAAGGTGAGTTCCCGATCTGTATATATGCATGCGACGGTGTAAACGACGGCAGCAGTCGAAAGAAGCGAAAGGATGAAATAGAGAGTGAAGTAGGCAGCTTTGAAAAGCCAAAAGTAAGCCCACTCATCGGAGATAAGGTCGGCTAATTTCTCATATTTGGGAGTGCCCCATTGAGTACGGTAGAGTTCTATTTCGTTGTACATGATTTTCCTGAAGAAGAGATCCAATACTTCCATGTGAACAAGGTAGATGAATGAAAAAGGAAGGATTAAAGATAAAGTGATCTTGCCGAAGATTTTTCTCCATGCAATGATGACTTTGTAGGATTCATCGAAGATGCCAAAGCACCCAACGAATTGCATCGCTTCTTGCTCTTTATCCATATGCTTTGAGTTGCAGAGAAAGAGAAAACGGAGATATTGAAGAGATTGGCATGATGAGAAGAAAATCAAACTGCCCCTGATATTTAAGAAACCCATTACGTGCTTAAATTAGTAAACAAATCTTTCCCAAAAATCACAATTGTATTAGATATCATCTTCGAAATTTATGCATACACACTAAAATTATAGATTGTCTTTGTTAGATATTATTGGTAGCAAATACTGCAAATGAAATTAATATTTTTATTAAAAATTATCAATTTAAAGCAATCAAATGTTGGAAATAATATAATAATTTAAAAAATAATTAATCAGTTTATTAAAATATATCAAATTATTAATAAGACATTGACTTAACAATAAGATTGAGGTCTGAGAACTTTAAGACCCAAATTTGAGTCCAATTATGTGAAAAAATTTAAAATTTATGTCAAATATTGATATTCACCATTGAATTATATCAAAAATGAACTTTTTAGATGCCAAACTTTCAAAAATTATATAATAGATATTAAACTTTAGATTTTGTTATAAATATACACAACGTCATTATCTATCATTAAAGATGTGACGTGACATGCTAAATAAAAATAAATTATCTCATTTGACTCTTTAATTGTAAATAAAAATGTATTTTACTATTAATTTCATTTAAAATAATTTTTATTATGTTCATTGAATTGAAAACAAAATGGATATAAATAAATTAAATATTATTTTTAGTACGTGTCATATTATAAATATTGAATTTGTACTATATAAATTACTTGATACATTATTAAAAGTTAAAGATTGTTTCGATTACTTTTATTTAAGTTTGGATATATTTTTCTTATTAAATTGATACTATAATTTTTTTGAATGTATTTTTTAAAATTGGGTTTAACTTCTTAAACAAAAGTCAAGCGCTTAAATCACATCGTTTGATAAAAAAGAATTACAATATTTGAAAATTCAATTTTTTAGATCTCAAAAATTATAAATTTTAGTTTTACAAATACAACCACGATTAATAAATATTTGGTTATAAAAAATTTTTGATGAAGGAAAAAATTTCAAAAAAATATAATTTTAAATTTTAAAAATAAATCATTTTCATATATATATATATATATTTAAAAATCTGATCGATTGGCACCGTCGATCATTACGTCATTTTTCGGGTTAGTCATTGATGGTAATTGTTAAAACCTTTTTTTCCCTTACATACTCTTTTATATCTCGAACAAGAATCTGAC